AATTTTGACAGAAGCGAACCCGAACCCGAGTCTGAAGCAGAGTACGTAGAAGAACTTGCCCCAGGTCATCCTTCGCATTTCCAAGGGTTTCAGCAATTCTGGTAAATTGCATTCCCTCCTGCAAGCATTCGAAAACCATGCGCCACCCATCGCAGCTGTGATTTCTGAACTTGGAGAAGTAGCGGCGCATTATTTGGTACTTTCATTCATAGAATAACTGCCAGGCCCATCACATATAGTTTTCAGTACGTTTTTTAAAACTTGTGCTGTTTCTGTTACATGAACAAATAGGTTATATAAAAAGCAAAATGTCACATGACCGGAATTGAAACTGACTTCCTCTTTACCGGCGTTTAAAAACATCATTTCGATCGCTATCTTTTTTGAGATGGCGCCAAATTATTCTTTTCGTTCAGTTCAATGGTATGCTGCCAGTTCAGTTTCAAAAAACATGTTTGACTGTTACCTCTCCAGAACATCCGCGTCCCATTCTGTCACTTTTTCTTCTACGGATCGTTGCAATGGTCCTTATTTGAACATACTCTCGTTCAACCCATGTTCGAGACGCGGCCTTGCGTCCTATGCACTGAAGGCGCTTAAATTCCGTTTAAAACGGAGGCGTGGCCTCTTTAGACGCCTCCCCCCTACGCGTCTAGAAGCAGAAGAGTGGGAGTGGTGCAATCAGCTGCTGGTGTAAAGTGAGAAATTGATTTTTCTTTCTTTACACTGTGCATTCGTCTTTTCAATCCGGTATCATTATTATATTACTACCATGTTTGACTGATTTTTTTAAGTTTCGTTTTATTTGTTTTTTGAGTGATACCTTCTGCAAATTTAACGTACAGTCGTGTGGTTAAACACAAAGTACAGTCGTAAGGCGCATGCAACAGGTAACATTGCCGAATGTTTTGCAATCTCTGACAAAATCACACTAAAGCACCATGTTGCTTGAGTGATTACTGTCTAGTTTATGATCTGGTATCCGTTTGTAGGTTAATTCACCGGTGCGCAGTGGGGCGAATTCCTTGCTCCAAGAAATTTGGAGTCAATGAGGAACGTTTCCGCCATGCCTGTGTTACGATCGGCATCATTAAGTTACGAAACCGAGTCATTTCTCTCAGTGCCACCGCTCCCTCACCACACTGAGTCATGATCACTCATCGGTTACCAAGATTTAACAAGTTTTGCA